CCAGAAGGATAAGCGGTTTAGATGATGGATGGATGGATGTTAGCCAATACTACCTATTTGGCTATTGATCACAATATCTAATCTATTTGATGACTGATTAAGGGAATATTTATTCAAAATCTCCGACACGGTCACACTACTTTTTACTGTTATGAGGAATGGCTAGACTTCTTCTCCCTCCACATCTTGCAAGCAAAGGAGGAGCACACTGCTGTTTGGGTATTGAAATGTCAATGGCATATAGGAATTGTATTGATTGTATCTCTATCAGAACATAATTGTTAACACTTTTAAAAATCAGCGTCGGCCAGATGAATTGATTTAACCGCTAATTCAAAACGAGATTTGATGACACATATTTTGCACGGTAGCCAGTTGCACCAGCTAAAGCAGCAGAGAATGTGTCCTCATAGTTCCATAAAAAAGTATTCAGACCTCAGATATTCACAAGGATTATTTTATGATCTATTGAAACCCAAGGCATTAACTAAGATAGTACCAGCTAAATAAATTGTTGCTGTCGGAACAAAACCTTGTATCTCCAAAATGGTAACTTTACAGGAGAAGGAAAAAACCCACTTTACTTTGAATGTAAGTCAATGGAACCAGACTTTTTTCCAAGTCATTTTGGGCCGTTTCTTTTGGTCCATTCATCATGAAATTTACAAACAATGTAAAGGACAACAGGCATTTTCAAATTATGTCAAAATCTGAAAAACAACAAAAATGGAAATACAAGGTTTTCTTCTGACAGCAGCGATATATAAAATCATCATTTTTAGGGTGATTTCTATGTACCCCAGGTGGCTGCCCCAAACCCTAACCTCTAAATTTCAACTTGTGAAAATAATATTGGCTTTTTTCATTTCTTTTAAAGTGAAGCTTAAAGATTTAGATTTATCACGAGTTTAATTTTTAAATAATAATAAAAAAAAAACTTTATTCAAAAAATTATGTCCTACGTTTTCATGTCAGTGTCAGAACTTATATCAGAGTTCAGTCCACAGGTGGGGCCTTATTGTAGCCACACCCCTCATTTCGGAGCAGGAAGTGAGGCTGCATCCCTGTCCCTCATGGCCACATGGTGAGCAGTTAGATCTCACTGTTTTGAACTGAATGTGTCCCAAAGTCTGAAAATCAGCATATAACATTCAGAATTGTCACTACTGAAACACATATTTTCGCAATTAAGTAAACTTTTTGTGAGTTTTAATGAAAACTATGATGGTTTTATGTGTGCACAGCTGTTCGAAGCTGTGCTTGTTAGTCATGTACTAACTAACATTTTTGAGTTCTGTTCCAAATGAACTAAAACTTTGTTTTAAATCACAAAGCGTCACTTAAAGCAAGAGGATTTTAGTCTAAAGTCCAAGTTACTTTCAGTCTGAAGTGAGTTTTGAACTCTACCTTTAAACCAGTTCAGGAGAATGATTCACATAATACTGAGAGGAGGACATTAGTTACCTTATTGTGTCAAATTCACAGCTGTAGTGTCATCTGTCTTCTGTTAGATAGTGTTACTGATTGGCTGCACATGGTGAAATCAATTGTTTTGATCTACACTCACTTTACACACTAGTAGTTACGCTAACTCTAGTTTTAAGCTGACTACTTTCTACGAATGTTTTAGGACAGACTTCACACCTTTATGATCAACTTATGATCGAACTTAAGTTCAGCTGGCACTACTGCCTCTGCTGGGCTGCTCTGCTAATATGCATTTACCTTATCTATAATCCTAGTCCAGGAGGATTTAGACCCAACTTCTGTACTTTATAAATGTGTATACAACAGTTATTCCAATGGCACAATCCGATTGGTTGAGAAGCGGCCTTGTGTTTTTTTACTGCATCGCTTCGCTGGGTAATGACTGCGTGCAGCTAACCAGCAGTATGTTTCTACTGTGATGGCAGAAAAACTAAAAAACTGGAATTAGATAGAAACGAACAGAAATACGATTCAGCAAATAAGATGGGCTTTGAAATGCTTTACAGACTGGCTGCAACAAGACGACATTCAAGTTAATCTGGCAAGTACTGATTTTGGGGGCAGTCGTGGGCTGGAGGTTAGGGAACCAGCCGTGCGACCGGAAAGTCGACAGTCTGTGACTGAGGTGCCCTTGAGCAAGGCACCTAACCCCCAACTGCTCCCCGGGCGCTGCGGATAGGGCTGCCCAGCACTCCAGGCAAGTGTGCTCACTGCCCCCTAGTGTGTGTCTTCACTAGTGTGGGGGTCACTTAATCTAATCTAATCTAATCTGAAGTACTGAAAAAGCTGGGCTGAACCTGAGAATGACATTTTTATGTCTCTATCCGTGACAGCGCAGTAAAGCTGATTTTAGATTGGATATTTTTTTGGATATTCAACTTTCTCTCCTTGATTTCTCATGAAATAACTAAAAAATAGGTCAGTTTGACCCCTTTTCACCTTTGAGTTGGCTGAAATACTGGTTACCTTCTCTTCTTCTCCATGGAATTCTTTGACTTCTCCTTATTTAGGGTCACGAACTTGCATGCAAAGTGTCACACTGATGTGTTGTGGAAGGTCTGTATAATATTTGTGGGCCACTTTGACCTTGATGCTTTCATGTACAGAGATAGTTTCACAAATGTATTTTTTTTCAACATAATACAAGGGTTAAGGGTCTGTGTACACAGTGTGCACCGAGGATGTCTTTCTGAAGTGTATTTCTCATGTATTTTAGGTAAACAAACTCAAAATGACATCAAATCATCAGTAGTTCTGGGACTTACAGTAAGCTTAAAGGAAGAAACTACAAATGATTAGATGTGGATTTGCCTTTTTTTTATATATTAAACATTTTTAAACATTAAACGTTTTGCATAATTTTGCCCACAATCTATAAACAAAATCTTTCAAAACAGTTTGAGGTGAAATTGCTCCATTCTAGAGAAACTGAGTCAGAATTGTTCACAGTGATGGTAGTGGGAACCAGATGTCTGAAGCATTTAACGCTTCTAAAAGCTCCATCACAAAAAGTTATTACCTGCAGTTTGACACATTATGATAGTCCTGCAACAGTTTAGCTTACAATATTTCCTTTCAAAACAATTTCCTATCAGACAGGTACATGCAGGTGTTCTAAGGCAAACAGTCCCCAAAGAAAACATGTTTTTTGGGGTTTATTACTATTTTGCCATTATCAACATTACATATAAACACCTAGAAGACGTGCTAATTCACTGGTTGTATTTAAGAGCAAATAAATTGCTATATTTGAGGTGCAGATATCGCAACTTCTGGTTCCTCTCACCACTGTAAAGAAATCTGAAGTGGTAAATTTCTCTACAATGAACTTTTCACATCAGTACACTCTCAATCACTTTGTTTACATTTCAAAAATGTATGTAAAAATTCAGAAGGATTTGTTCACCTTTAATGATGATGATGTCAGTTTTATGCATTTTCAAAACATTATGTTCGGTAAAATTTAACAACAGACAGTCCTCCGTCTTTCAGGAGTCAGAAAATGTAGGTCTGACTGTTTTTGGATGTTTATTTCTTGAGAATTTAAGGAGATTAATTTGAATATTCAGCGAATGTCCATTATAACACCAACTTTCCTGCACTGTCCGAAACGGAACAGGATGATACTTTTTTGGTGGGAGGAATTGCTGATAATGAAGCATATTTTATGTGGTATATTGTTCAGGGCTTTTCACGTACATATTTGCCGATGCCAATACATACATAAGCAATAAAACATGAGAGGCAGTGTGTTATCATGACTAACGTCACGGTGATGATCTCCAGCATTTGCATGCAGCTTGTGCCTGTGTGTGTGACCGATCCACAGCTGTGACGTTATTTTTGATAAACACTCGTGTTTTAACTCTTAAGTATAAACTGAGCGGCCACTTCAGTAAGTACACCTACCTTGTATCTACTCACTGTCTATTTCATCAACTCACTATACAGGAGCACTTTTAGTTCTACAGTTACAGACTGTAGTCCATCTGTTTCTCTGCAGTTCTTCAGTGGTCAGGACCCCCATGGACCCTCGCAGAGCAGGTACTATTTGGGTGGTGGATCATTCTCAGCACTGCAGTAACACTGGTGGTGTGTTAGTGTGTGTTGTGCTGGTCTGAGTGGATCAGACACAGTAGTGCTGCTGGAGTTTTTTTTTTGAGTTTGTCAAAATATCCTAAAATATCCAGCCAGCAGTGTCCTGTGGGCAGCATTCATGACCACTGATGAAGTACCAGAGGATGACTAACACAACAACAGATGAGCTTTGTCTCTGATTTTACATTCGCAAGGTGGACCAACAATGTAGGAGTGTCTAATAGAGTGGACAGTGAGTGGACACAGTGTTTAAAAACTCCAGCAGCACTGCTGTGTCTGATCCACTCGTACCAGCACAACACACACTAACACACCACCACCACGTCAGTGTTACTGCAGTGCTGAGAATGATCCACCACCCAAATAGTACCTGCTCTGTGAGGGTCCATGGGGGTCCTGACCACTGAACAACAGGGTAAAAGGGGGCTAACAAAGTATGCAGAGAAACAGATGGACTACAGTCTGTAACTGTAGAACTACAAAGTGCACCTATATAGTAAGTGGAGCTGATAAAATGGACAATGAGTGTAGAAACAAGGAGGTGCACCTAATAAAGTAGATGGTCAGTGTATACTCCAACATACATTATTTTTTTGAAGACAGAGGTGCCTTTTTTCTATAGTATAAGATATAGACTATATTTCTATAGTTTTTTTAATAGGAGCCCTACTTCATAAAGTTGCTGGTCATTATATATCGATACTGGCAGATTTCCCCTTACTTATGTCCATTAAAAACATCAGCATCGGCCAAGAATTCCCATATCAGATTATCCAATTTTCACAATTTAACTCCTACTACCAGGTTATAAACAGGAGGGCCTAATCTTGCTCATGTGGAAATAGAGTGCAATTCTGAAATTAAAACAGAATCTCTAGCATCCTAACACTGCACTGCGCGGCAGTCACCTTTACCTGTGACCAGCAGTCTTCCAGTGGTGCTTGCCGTCCCAAACTGGTTTCTAGCCAGGCATGTGTAGTTGCCCCCATCCATCTTGGTCACATTTATGATTCTTAGCGTTCCATCAGGGAGAAGACTTATTCTGCAAGAGAAGAGCCAGACGTCACCCAAAATCAAATCCGCATCTCGCCTACATCCTGATAACGGAGCGCGATTTTGATTACTGAGAAGTTTCATCTTAGTTTTTTCGGACCGTGGAAAAAGGGGCCACGTAAGTGAGTTTCAGTGGAACTGGCCATAAATCATCTCTCTCGATGGCGCAGTGCTTGCAGCTGGCTGGTGCGTCTCCGTGGCGATAGTACGTGTTTATGACTCACAGTAAACATTCCCTCAAATGCAGAGGCTGATGAGGCCTGTAATGGAGCTCCGCATTTCCAGCCGCATCATCCTCCTATTACTCAAGGGGCCTTCTGGACCGCAGTGCCATCATAACACTCTCTGCCATGCACTACCAGCAGACACTCACTGCTTCAAATCTGTAATATCTTTCCAATGTCTAAGCTAAGTGGTGCCAAATGTGACCAGATAAACTGGTTTAAGCATTGCTTTTGCAACATGTGCTGATCTGTGAGTCCACTTTTTCTCACAGCCAGAAAGATCGGGAAATATCCAGGGGTGTAACAGTGTACATTGTGATTATGTGACAATGCATGTTATGGAGATTTCAACTGTATTCTATGAATTATGCCACCTAACAATAAATTCTGCAATCAACTTCACCCCTTTTCACAGTCATCATCAAACGGAGTTTACGTCTGTGTCGGATCTCCCACTATATACTCCCAGTATATACTGTGTTTAAATCTTTATTATTATGGGAGCTGTACAGTTTCATATGAAGAAAGCAGCAGTTGTGCCGTCTGTTTTTTCTGCTGTGGAGAGGTGTGACCTGTTTCCACAGCACCCCCTGCTGACTCCACTGCTTTTACCCCTCATTGCTCACTAGTAGCTCAACACAGTCACAACATTTCACACACAGAGAGCCAACAGTGTTCCGGTTTATCTGATATCGGAATCACATGGAAAAATTGTTTATTTCATTATATTCAAAATATCCAATCAGTTTCCACTCTGCCAGCAGAATGACCAGCAGGGGGCTTATAGAAAGAGCATGTTTAACGTCACACATCATGCTAACAAACTCACAAACACCAGCAAGTTCAATGCCACACATCACACTCTCAACGTAATCCACATCAGTTATTTATATCATAAGACACTCTCAACTCACATCAGTACATTCACAAAGATTAAATGATGAAAATAGGGTGGATAAAAATGCAAGTCATTAAAAACAGTCATTAAAAATGCACACAAACTGAGATTTGAGTGATAAACTTACTTGATTTGATAAAACAGTGTTGATTTGATGAAATATCAACCAAATATTATCAGTTAACAGCAAGGCAGCTTTCATATGAGAGTGGAAATAAATATTCCTTGATTAAAAGAAAGCTGAATAAAAATATATGCAAACTGAAATTTTTTTAGTACTTTTTACAGCATTTACACATTATTTATTATTTATATATTTTTTTATTATTTACCTAATTTATCATTTAACTTCAGTCATTTTTGTTACTTGTGTCATTCTTCATTTAACGTTAGTTATTTTTGCTACTTAGTTCATTTATTGTTGAACTTTTGCTAATTCTGCTTCTCATAGCTACATGTCGGTCAGCAAGACGTTCCACCCACCCACTCTCAGTGAATGACATGATGCTTCACTGCTGCTGTCCACACGTGTTTAGCAGCACTTACCAGCCGTCTCCCTCTGTACTGCTTTTCAGTATTTCACTGTGCTCCTTCAGCACTAATCTAATAGGTTAAGCTCTTCTGAATGTAGATTATACAGTGTTCTGGAATGTTCTACGATGGTGCAAAGCAACTGCGGTGAAGCTATTTCAATCTGAATGTGCCGGTGTAATAACTCTCCCAATGCACGTTTGTTATACGTAATTCAGTAAAACATATTAATTAAATTAGTAAACGCGATTGCAAACGTGTCAGAGTTCTGCTTGGTCTGCTTTGGAAGGGTTAATGTTCCCTGTCTTTTGTTTTTTTTTTCCATAGAACTTCCCTCGTTACCATACAAAATGGCACTTTCATGAACACGTTGGTGGTTCTACCGCATTCACACAGGCAGCTTTGCGAAATGAGATTTCTAATGCTATAAACCCTATACTGGAATGCTGTTATACTGTTAGCTCCCCCTTTTTCCCCCCTTCGCCAGTGTGCTTACAGTTAAATTGGACTGGGGATGTCTCACTGAGTGCTCTCCAAACAAATGCGCTGTGGCATAATGCAAATCCCTTTGTTCTACCCGCAATTTCCTCGACAGAATAATCCCCAAACTACTTAATCCAACTTCATTAGAAAACAGGGGAAAAAAAAAAAAAACACACCCGACCAAACAGTTGAGCTAAAGGCTCTGTTGTGCCTGCTCAAGTGGCCTCCTACCACGAATCATTTCATACCTCACAGACTTGGCCCAAAACACTGTGAAACCCCCTGCTAGGACGATCTAATAGGCTTTTTCATAATTCATGAGTGTTATGGTCAGTGGGCCACCACAACTGCTGCCTGCTCTGTCCCTTTTGATAGCTGTTAAAATGCAGCGAGCTTACAGTGATGGCAAACAGTGAGAAGGGGAGCGGGGAGGTTGGTTGGGGAGTGAGAGTGGAATAGAAAGCAAAAAGGAGAGGGAGTGAGGCACAGAACGGGAGATACAAGACTGTGTGTGTTTGAGCTGACAAAACAGGAAAGGGAGGAAAACTGCATGAGAGAGAAAAAGAAGTGGGAGGTCAACTTCTTACCTCTCTGTGCTCTGCAGCACTTCATTGCCTTTCCTCCAGGTGCTGATAGCAGTAGGATAAGCCTGGGGTTTGCACGCCATGCTCACCGCGCTGCCGGCCTTTGCTTTGAGCAGCGCCCGCAGCGGGCTCCTGGAGAAGTCCGGTGGTGAAGCTGTAGGGGATAAAAATGGAGGGGATCAGGAGACAGTCAGGGAAAGCATCAGTGGTCAATAATATTACAGCTCTGAGGTCAGTTTGCCAGGGTCTGGATGCTGCTCCAAAAGACACCATGTTGCCTCACAGCAGACGTAAACCCTGTTTAGCACGGGTCAATGTAACAGGTGTAAATGTGCCACCGTGAGCCATCTGTGGCTTCTGAGCAGCCTGGACGGCTTTGCTGTTCGCAGTTGGAATGCCCTATTCTTGCGAGCCAGACTTTTGCTGTTGGAGAGTCTGGTGGGTTTCGTCACTCAATATGGCCAATAATTTCTAAAGGAAAGGACCATTTGATTGACATACAAACTGAACGACAACAAACTGCTGTTTTTGCTTGATGTGTAGCGGCAGGCGATTTTCAAAATAGTGCTACAACAAAAACAGACCCCCGTCAAACAAAGTAGAATATCTGTTGGAAAAAATTCAAGAGTCTCCCATTTAATATCAAATCAATCGCTGCTGTTAGAAGAAAACCTTGTATCTCCATTTTTGTCATGTTTTCAGTTTTTAACATAATTTGAAATAGCCTGTTCCCCTTCACACTGTGTGTATATTTCATGAAGGATGAACCAAAAGAAATGGCCCAGAATTACTTGGGAAAAACTCTGGTTCCATTGACTTACATTGAAAGTAAAGTAGGTTTTTTTCCTTCTCCTGTAAAGCTACCATTTTGGAGATGTGAGGTTTTCTTCAACAACAGCCAAATGTTTAAAAACACTCTGGTAGAGCTTTTAAAGTAGGACAGCCAATGAGAGGAAAAACTGACAGCATTACAATAGTTGTGGCCATCATAGTGTTCAATGGACTCCATTACCCAGAACCCCACTCCTGATCACATGACCACCAACTTTCCTCACATGACTCTCCAACATTCTCCCTCACCTGACTACCGATCCCTCTCACCTGTTCCTTGTTATGGTTACCTGTTAGTTTAGTATATAAGCCCAGGCTTTAGCTTAACTCATAGTGAAGTATTGCCTTTGTTATCAGAAGCTTGTGATTGTTGTGATTTCTGGTTTGACCCTGTTTCTGTTTTCTGGACATTGTCGTTTGGACTCTCCTCATGGTTACTGTTTTGGTGTATTGGTTTTTGACCTTGGACTGGCTGACTTTGATTACGGATACTCCTTTTGTTAATAAACCCTCAATTCTGTCTGAGCCTATACAGATGGTATATGTACCTCTGTGGGCTGAGACTTGGATTGTCCCGATTTGATCTGAAATATCAGCATCGGAGATATACATTAACCTTTTAAACTCAAGACCACCGGTGGTTCCAAAACGCACTTCGTCATGTTCTTCATAACCTTCATATTTCATAAGCTACATTCTAAAGGTGGGGGTCGTATGAGAGCTGTAACTGTCTTCTGTCCAGTCAAATAGATGGTGATGTAATTTTAAACCCTTATAATTAAAGAAGCTGAACTTTCTACTGAAAGTCGACCAATTTTTCCACAAATCTGGGCTATAAACTATAAACAGATGGCGTCTCTTCAGTGATCTGCTCTGTAAAAATTATTTTTATAAAATAATACAAAGAGCGTCTAAGATTTTAGGCTTTCAATTTTTCAATCATGGTTAAACCAGCTGTTCATCAATGCACCGTTAAACTAGCTGCATGTAAAATGTGACCATGTTATTAAACATCAGCAGTAAGAGTAATATCACTTTCAATAGAAGTAGGCTGCTTCACACAATAAACAAATTTGCAATATGAAAGGAGTATATTGTTGCTGTCCAAAGAAAAACAAGCATCTCCAAAGCAGTAACTTTACAGGAGAGCACAAAAACACTCTCACCTTTCAGTGTAAGTTAATGTAAAGAGATTTTATTCCAAGTGATTTATGAGCATTTCAATTGGTCCATTCATCATGAAATTTACAAAAAAATGTAAAGGATAGCTGGTGTGTTGAAATGATGGAAAAATAAAAATCGACAAAAATGGAGAAACATGGTTTTCTTTGGACAGAGATGATATTTAAGATACTATAAATTGGTTGTTTCTAAAAAATGGTCTAAAAACCAAAATGTATCAGTTCTAAATGTTTCACACTATGCACACTGGGCCTGGGCAACTGCACAAAGTAACCGGATATCTGTGATAAGTTTTCAAAGGCTATAATAGGCATTCTGGTATTTGGAACTGATAGAGACTGTTAGTGAAATGGATCCCTACTCTCTTATTAGAATGTGCTTTACAGGGTGAACGATTTTTCTTACTAAATAGCACTAAAATGCACAAATTAATAAATTAATACGGACACTTGGATACTCATTACCAACCTATGACGGTATTTACCAGTCGCATAACAAGCCAGCAGTACTTGCTTTAAGTTAGCTTCTTATTCGTAGCTGTAGACATTTGATAAACGTTTTAAAAGGTGCAGGAATGAGGCCTGGGAAAAAAGTACAAGACATAATTAGACGACACAAATTCTCAAACTGTCATCACCACTGAGCAGCTTTTCAGTCGGCAGCTGTGACAGAAGAACAGCTGAACAACCTGGAATCAGCCAGAAATGAACCCAACACCATTCGCCAAACTAAACAGGCTGTAAGATGCTTTACAGACTGGCTGGAACAAAACAACATTAATACTGATCTGGCAAAAACTGACAAAACTGAGCTAAACTTGATATTTCGGCAGTTTTATGGCTCAGTCTGTACTTCAAAAGGCGAGGCTTACAGCAGACTGTGCAGCGAGTGGGCGGAGCTCGTTACTCTGATGTAGCAACAAGCTGCTTGTTAAGGAACTATAATTTGGTGAAGGAACTGCGAACATTAAAACATATTAAACGCCGCGTTCACGGCCCAGTTTATTAATTTATTACTTTATTTATTTAACTGTTGTATTAAAGCAATAGAACACTCGAGGAGTGCGTTATCGCAAATAACATCACGGCTGTGATGATCTACGACAACCGTATCACAGCCATGATGTTATTTTGCGATAACACACTCCCTCTCGGGTTCTATTGCTTAAATATATACATATATATGTGCTAAGCATGTGGACATCGGCAAGATAGCTATTAAGCTGCTTTTTCAATACTTCTATGTTTTAACAAGAAAACATTATGCTAATTTTTCTTACATATTGCCAAAGACTAATATGCATACTGTTAAGTGTGCACTGAGTGGGTGTATTATCTACAAAAACACAAATATCGGACTCCGTATCGGGACGTACTCGATATTAAATTACTCTTATTGGATCTGGGGCAAACAAACTTGTCAGGCATCTTGAGCTTTGGAGACTTTAGTCCCAGTGCTGACATCAAGCTGCCTCACAGCAGACATAAACACTGCTTTGCCCGGGTCAATATAATGGGTGTGAATGTGCTACTGAGGGAAGAGCAGCCTGCAGCCTCAGTGTCGTCAGGAAGGCTCTACTGTGTGCGGTTGAGACGGGTATTTACAGTCATAGGTAGCTGCAGCCGGCCACTGCGCTGGGGCACAAAATCGCTATTACCTTGGGGGTCGGCTGGCCCTTGCATAAACATAGCCAGAGGGGGGCTACCGCTTTGTTTGCAGTATTCAACACTGCGACTGCTTCTGGCTTGATGGAGCCGGGGTGCTTGGAGATCCCCCCCCTCCCCCAGCTCTATTTTTCTCTCCTCCCGCTCCCTCTCTCTACTCTCTTGTTCTCTCTGGGCTGATGACAGAAGGACGAGCGTGGCCTGTGTCACTGTTTGCTCTCAGCTTTTTTCCTCCAGCGAGCGCATCTGCTGCCGTGCCATCAGAGACACCATCTCTCTCTTCTCCCTCCAGACGATCGATACTGGATTAACATGACTGACTCGCCGCTCTCTGCTACCCCTGCTCTTAATGTGGCAAAATCAATGTGCTGATAGGAAATTCTGAACAGAAGAGGACTTTCGCAGGCCGCTCTACAGTTTTTTATTATTCTGATTTAGATCAAAGAGCAAAAACTTGTTTCCCGGCAAGACAAGCAAGTAGTTATATATGCTGAGAAATGAGATCCGTTGAGTTTACTTGATTCAAATTTCTACATCATTTCTTCAAGAAAAATATATCACATAGACTTCGTCTCAGTATATTTGGCAATAGCTGTGTTAATATTATATATTTTATAGGGATGCATCAATATGGGAGCCATGGCCCATGTTCCTATCTGATATTTTTTCAGTACTGATTTTTCATCTGCTGATTTTGATATAAAAACTTCTTTTTAACACTTATTTCTTCAGGGCTACAAAATCACTCAAATGAATAACATGCATCAAATAAATACATAATCAATTATTGCTTTAATGGGAACATCAAACATCAGAACAGCCTAATCTAAATTATATGTCCAATGCAGATATTTTAAAAGCAAATATTTGCAGACAGGGGTCGGCGACATGGCAAAAAATTGTAACGTATAAGATACTTCCAGAAATTTTTATCATACACAATATACTTAGAACACTCTGTTGAGCTCTCCTGCTACCCGCTTCAGACCAGTTGCCCATGCCCCAGTCACCGCCTCTTCCCCAGCTACCGCCACCTGCCTTGGACTAGCTGCCCACCCTACACTGAAGTTTTCATGGACTCCTAACTATTACTACTACTACTACTATTAATATCAGTAGTATAATAATTTTGTAGGTAGTTTGACCAGAGGAGGATGGGTCCCCCCTTGTGAGCCTTGGTTCCTCCCAAGGTTTCTTCCCCAGCTCTGAGGGAGTTTTTCCTTGCCACTGTTGCCCCTGACTCACTCACCTGCATTTCATGTTAAAACTTTGTCCCTAATGGATTTCTGTGAAGCTGCTTTGTGACAACATCAGTTGTAAAAAGCGCTATACAAATAAATTTGACTTGACTTGACTAGAACACGAGAGGGAGTATGTTATCGCTTTTATACAACAGTTAAATAAATAAAGTAATAAATTAATAAACTGGGCCGTGAACGCGGCGTTTAATATGTTTTAATGTTCGCGGTTCCTTCACCAAATTATAGTTCCTTAACGAGCAGCTTGTTGCTACGTCAGAGTAACGAGCTCCGCCCACTTGAAATAAACCGAATACCATTCGCCAAACGTGTAGTCTGATCCTCAGAGTCTGTCCAAATCAGACTGAGCCATAAAACTGCTGCAATATCAAGTTCAGCTCAGTTTTGTCAGTTTCTGCCAGATCAGTATTAATGTTGTTTTGTTCCAGCCAGTCTGTAAAGCATCTTACAGCCCGTTTAGTTTGGCGAATGGTGTTGGGTTCATTTCTGGCTGATTCCAGGTTGTTCAGCTGTTCTTCTGTCACAGCTACCGACTGAAAAGCTGCTCAGTGGTGACGACAGTTTGGGAATTTAGTGTCGTCTCATCTTCAGAGTCTGACCAAATCGGCTGTCGGTCAAATGTGATCTTAAAAGTGTCCATTTTCTGTTTGTGGCAAAGTAAGAAGTAAAAACGTTCAAATGGCTTGAGCGTCTCCTACAGCTGTCAAAGTCGTTTTAGATTTAAAAGATTGCAACAGACAAAATATAATAATAATAATAATAATAATAATAATAAAAGTAAACCTACAGTTACAATGATTCGACTGTACTGCACTACTGTGTTCAGCGTATTTAAGCACTGACAGGGTCTACGATATGCTCAGAAAAGCATACTATGATTTCGTTTATCATGATAAAAATAAAATGTTGATATATTGCCCACACCGACCTGCAGATACCAATATGATTCTGATATCATGGTGCATCCCTAATATTTTATTAACGTGCAAGTCGTACGTACATGCCATATACTCACTTCTTTTACTGAGCTGTTTCCGTGTAATGACTTCTAAAAATATGTTTTTGTGTATGAATATATTTTTTATCCCAAGATGCCTCACAAATCAGGGAGAAGAAAAGTAACACATGCAAGTTTCATGGAACACAATATGACTGGTCAATTCTGTCATTAATAAGCAATTTTGATCTGTTCATTTTTACAGACACCACCACAGGATAGCGCTGTGTTCGAGTCTTCTGCAGTCAGTCACTGACCGATACAATTTTTTATATGAAAATAAACACATTTGCCCTTATCCATCAAAGTTGAGTATGGTCAAATCTGATCGTAAAATTAGTGTGTGCAGATTTCACTGACAGTTTTGTTTCCCATCAGATTCATCGAATCTAATCTTGGGTAAGGTTTGCTAACATCAGCTTGGTGGAATTTGCAGTGCTTCAGCGCTAAATAAATTACTAGCAGTTTTGTAAAAGGTCAAGTACGGTGTCAAAATAAGGCCATGATATAATGTTTATAAACAAGAAGACTGTCACTGATGTCAGGATTTAAAAAAAGGTGTCTGTAAACAATTAAATTCTCAGGTAGAACAACTTATGTTGTGTTTTTTTAATGTTGTGTCCATTCAAAAATGGAAGGAAAAGGTAATAAAGAACAGAGGAGCTGTTCAAGTGAGCTGACGGATCCCTAACTTACTGTTACGGCAATGCAAACCCACACTACACTAGTGTTGAACAGTAAACTGCATGCATAACAGACAAATAAGTGTGTTTCAGTATTTCAACTTCAGTATCTAAAACCTTATCGCTGCTATTGGAAGAAAACCTTGTATCTCCATTTTTGTCATGTTTTCAGTTTTTGACATAATTTGAAAATGCCTGTTGAACTTTACATCGTATATAAATTTCAGGATGCATGGACCAAAAGAAATGGCCCAAAATGACTTGGAAAAAAGTCTGGTTCCATTGACTTACATTAAAAGTAAAGTAGGTTTTTTCATTTTCCTGTAAAGTTACCATTTTGGAGATACAAAGTTTTCTTCCGACAGCAGCGATATGTATGTATGTTTATTTGTTGACCCTGTGCTCTGGGCTTTTTTTCTTAGGATTACAGCACTGCTACGATGGGCACATTTCAATCAAGTAAATTCAGTGCATTAATTGTTTCAGTGTACATAACATGGAGATGCTGTAGTGAAATAGCTTTCACTTTGCTGCTCTGCACACACCTTTAAAATATGCAACAAATACCTTTAAGTTACGCAGTGACAGTTCCAGACCAACATACTGTTTGTAAAGTGCTCTGACCTAAAAAAATCTTTCTCCCACTTTCCACATTATAGTGTTGTCTACTTAAGTAAATGTTTACATAAGTGCGCTGCCTTATGGTGCAGCCAGCCACGGATTTTTTGACATAAAGCAACAGGAGCTGCACAGAAAATAACTAAACAAAATGCGGGCGAGAGTGAAGACACTGCAAGAAGTGAGGAGGCTTGAAAGATGTCTTACCCAGCACAACCAGCTCAGCGCTGAAGTAAATGATGCCGTGTTTGTTCTCCGCCACACACTGATACATGCCTGCGTCAGACAGATTGACTGAGGCTATAGTAAGAGCTCCATTCTCTATCTGAATCCTGTCCTGCAAAGGACACAGATAGGCAGAGAGACAAAGGAGACTGAGAGCGAGAAAGAGGACATCGTCAAAGTGTACTGTACACAAACAACAGCAAAATGCTTATGTATCTAGTGTTAACCTAATTATTACGCTCAGTGGCTTTGTTGATTTCCGCTTAAGGATTGGTCACGACACTGCCTTTAGTAAATCATCTGTTACTGGGCACATAAGAATGAACACTTATTTACAGAACTGTGCAAAAAACCTTGATTTTTTTATTTTTTAAAATAAAAATGGCCTTTAAGTACGAGTTATTCATTTTTCAGGAGATATTTCTAAGCAGATTATATGTAAGATAATTCATATGGATAACGAGAAAGTCAAAGGAAAATAGGTGAAAAACAGGAATTTTCCAAAACTGTAATTATAGCTTTCTTCTTTAAGGGGTGGAAATCAACCTTCCTTCTTGCTTCAGAGGTGCAGGAGTGTTTTTGTCACACAGGTGTTTCTGTTCATTCCTTTCTACTGTGGGAAGATAATGCTATGAGTCTAAAAGGATGTGTAGCTGTCACACAGTTGTTACTGAGAAAAGGAATAAAATGTACAAAAAGGACAAAAATTTGGGTAACACTTTCTATGAATGTCACATTTGTAAGCATCTATAAACACATTTATAACATGTTATAATGTATTCATAAGGCATTTTAAACATGGTTATAAATATTTATAAAAAAGAATTACACTGAATTACACTTTATAGCCATGTTTATCATACATTATGAATTGTTTATATAATGCATTATAAGTAGTGTTAATAACATGTTATAATGTCAGTGCCAAAGAAGTCAGTCCCAGCTTGGAGAGCGTAAAGTAAAGACAAATACCAAGCTAATGGTGGTGTACATTACCTTTCCCACATTGGGTAAAACACTGACGCAGCTCTAGTTTAAACTCTGACATTTGAAGCCTGTAATGTGCTTTACTGTGAATGTTTTAGTGTTTCAGTAAATCCTTCAGTAAATACTTCAACTTGAAGCCTCACTCTGAACACTGGAGGAGGCTTTAGTACAGTACGCTTCACTTTACTTAGAGCGGACAAATACCACTTATGAGCTCTTATAATTTGTTATGATCAGTACTTATAATGTATTATGTTAACAATTCATAATGCATAATAAACATGGCTATAAAGTATAATGCATTTTTATAAATATTCATAGCTATGTTTATAATGTCTTAACAATGCATTATAACATGTTATGAATGTGTTTATTGATGCTTACAAAGGTGACATAGAAAGTGTTACCAAAATTTGCACCAAAACTGGACATCTGAAAAAAAAGGGGCAGATGATAATAATGATGATTACTTGGATCATAAGAAGCAGAAAATGCAACCAACTTCAAAGACTGAACTTTGGAGGCTTGTATGAAAAACTGAAAGCTAGTTTCTCAAAAAGAATGCAAGCTATAATAAAACCCAAGGGAGGACACACTAGCCCACTGGTCTCCAACCCGGGTCCTGGAGCTACCTACCTGCAGAGCCTAGTTCCAACCACAATTTGCCACACCTGCTCCAGCTAATCAACCTCTTCCCAACTGCCTCATTGGCTGGAATAGCTGTATTAGAGTTAAGTAAGGGATGGTGCAGCTTATTAGATACAGGTTGGAACTAAAGTCTGCAGGAAAGTAGCTCTCCAGGACTGCACTAAACACTAAAGTACAGGGTGATTCAAAAAGATTAATCAGATTTCAAAGCGTCATATTCTTACAGCCGTGAGGCGCCTAGGAACCAATCACAATCCAATTGAAAGAAAGGGTCATAGAGTTTCTGACTGTCAGTGGAAGATGGCTCCCTTCAGTCTGAGAGGAGATGAGACCCCTGAGCAGAAAGCGTTCTGCGTTCTCCACTTCAATAAGAGTGAATCCGTCATAACTGTGCAGTGTGATTTTCGTGGGCAGTGAAGCTCCAACAGCTCAGAGCGTTCGTCGTTGGTTCCACAACACTGGATGATCTCCGAAATCGCACTGAAAGAGCCGTGAGTGCAGCGACACCCGACATGCTCAATCCAGTATGGGATGAGTTTGACTATGGCGTTGATGTTGTCTGTACAGCTGGAGGAGGTTCATACTGAGACCTTGTACAATTACATAATAAACTTTATGCTCATTTAAACCATTTACAGTTCACTGCATTGATCTGTAATGATTTACAAGTGAAAAAAATCATTTTGAAATCGGATTAATCTTACTGAATCACCCTGTACTGATTCTATTTAATTGTTGAAGGTTTTTTGTCATTTTATGTTAGATATATATATTTTCTGCCATTTTCGCTGATACTGCAAAAAAGAGTAACTTGTACTTGATGGCTGTTTTGACTGGAAACAAAATAAATCTGGCTTTTCTGAGTGGTTTCTGGCTTTTGCACAATACTGAATGTCTGGTATAAACTTTTTCTAATGCTAAAGTTTTCCTTCTCTTCCATGCACAGTATAAGACTTCACTTTAAGATTAAAAAATGATGTTTGACAATGTTGTTCCATAACTAAAATTATATTCATCACAAATTAGTCCCCAGCTTCAGTGTTGCTTTACCTCTGTGGCGAGCAGCTCTCCGTTCCTGAGCCAGCTGTAGGAGGGTTTAGGCTTGCCGTTGGCTTTACATTCCCAAAACAACCTCTCCTCGATCGACAAGGCACTGTCCCGCATGGTCTGCACCCACTGAGGTTTGGCTGGGGATCAAAACAGATTATAGCTTTAGTTTATAACATTATATCTTAAATATGCTTGGTATACAAGATCTCCCAACACGGCTGTGTATATCATTTTTGCAATAATGGCTTTTGCAATATGAAAATGCTGCAATATAAAAATGAGCCAACCAACCAATCACAGTTCCAGGTTTTTTCTGTTCATGTTTTGATGAATCAAGCTATTCAAATAATTCAACAAAAGTATAAAACATTTTGCTCAAAATTTTGCAAGCAAGTCTTCTTTAACCACGTGACATTCTAGATTCACGAAATGTGTTTTTAATATATTATGAGGTGAATCATAATCAGCATTATAATCACAATATTAGTATTTTGTCCATATTTGTCCATAGTTTAGTCCTAGCACTCACCAGTGCTGTAAGCCATGCTCTTCTGGAGGCTGCAGGCTCAGGCTAAAACTCATTTACTGCCCTTATTAGCCAGGCGAGAGCTGTGAAATGTATTGTACACTAAACAAAGTGAAAAGTCCCAAGCAATTACGCCTAATAGCTGCACAAGATGCCTCCATCCAAATACTCACTGCGGCTATTGGTAGTCCTTTACCGAGTGCAGCTCTGTTCCCAGAGTCTTACAGAGACATCAGCGTCGCTCCCCGGACCTCTATTGTATCACATATCCCGAGACAACATCTAATTCAAACAGTACAATGTTCTAGAAGGCACATTAAATGATTTGTCATGATCGATATCCAGTCAGCTAAACAAAAGGCCTTCAGCTACATTCTCAGAGCATCACAGTGTGTGCATGTTTTTGTGGCAAGTAAGCACTTAAATTATTGATCATTCAGGCCACTGATAGATCTTTCAACTGCTTTGGTTTTCAAGGCCTTAGGCAGAAGCCACATGTACAGGTGTTTGAAAAGTCTGAATATATTTCTCTAATATTTCAGAGATTTCTCTTTAAACAACACCCTGGATATCCCAACAGTTATATTTTCTACCTGGAAAACCAGCAAACCTCTCAAATGGAAGCTACAAGCCGTATTGATCTTTCACAGGAACCAACAGTCAGCATTGATCTTCCATGGAAAGCTACAACAAGTATGGCCAAGTAATAGAAGGTACTAGTTTTATGTCTGGGGACGCATGACGGATGTGTGCTAGTGCTCCTAAGGCCAGGAAAAATAATAGAGAGCTCAAGGGCCAGCCTTGCATTTCACATCTCAAAGACAATAGTGCTGACCTATGGAGGCCAGTTAAGTGGCAGAAGTACCATTACAGAGAGTGGACGCCATTTCAGAGAAAAAAAAAAAAGTGGTCAATATCTACGACTTGGTCAATACCTGCATCTCTAAGGATATCCTCAGGCCTTAGAGATGGGTAATGAATTACAGGGCAATATAGTGACCCAATCAAACCTAGTGACCAAACCAAAGAGAAAAAAAGTGGACCAAATTGGACCAAAGATCAGATCCAATAGGTCAGGGGTGTCCAAACTTTTTTCCAAAGAGGGCCAGATCGTACTGTGTCAAAATACCTGGGGGCCAAATTATTATTCACAAATGATTCAAAATATTAAGTTTTCAAAATATCAGCACATAGAAACTGAGCTTTCTGTGAGCTACTGTGTTTCCTATCACTGTATAAAAGATGTAGGGGGCTTCTTTTACTGTTAGATTGTTCATTCAGAACAGTTTTGATCGATCAGTAATAAATATTATATTTAATATTAATTAATAAATAATGAATTGTTAAAGAGTAACAATACAACATGTCTAATGTAGTGATCATATTCCTATTCATGTGTTTACTTGTTGGGTGTCCCAAAAACATTGACATCATTCCGTGGTCTAATACCAGCCGATTCTCCCTCAAATGATCTCAAATTTTAACAAAATGTGTAAAAAATAACCCAGTTTAATTTTGAATGTTTTTGTTCAGGTTGAAGAACGGCGTTCACTAGAAATGAAAAGGCATTTTGTGTGTTAGAATATGCTCAAACACAGTCAAACGAGAGTGTGCAGCAGCATTTTAGAGAAAATTCAATAAAAATGCACCAACTGGAAAGCAGATCTGGACATGGCACAAAAAACTCAAAGAGGAAGGCTGTCTGTGCAGGACAAAGGGATCTGGATGACCACCAGTATTGGAAGATATTACATTCATGAAGCTGTGAAATCGGTTATAAAATCTACCTCCCTCTGAATTTCTTGTTCAAATTTTGATAAATAAATCTTGTATTGTTCAACATGAAGCCTGTTTAATTTCATTCGCCAGGACATGTCGTTACTCAGATATTCACATCTCAAATTATGTCAATTTTTTTGGGACACCCTGTACTTTGTGAGGCAAACTAAAGAAAAATCTATACATTTTTGGTTTTGTTGGATAATGTTCTTTACATATCAAATAAACACAGTGTAGCCACGTTGTTCTTTGACCTTAAAGGATTAATATTTACTGAACTACTGAATTTGCTCTGATAAGATGTTTTCCATCTCGCCGAGATCGCCAGTTCTCAAGTGTTTAGTTTGAGCGTTATGTCTGTAGTCTTGACTAAATGTGGTTCAGTAAATGAAGCTGCAGGTCTGGTCAGCTGCCACCATCAGGTAAAAGGAAGAACTGCAACATACTGGCTGGCGGGCCACTTAAAATACACTGTAAAACAGGAGCCAGGGGCCAGTTAAAATCTGTCTGTGGGCCACATTTGGCCCTGGGGCCGGACTTTGGCCACCCCTGCAATAGGTGAAGACTACACTGCTGCTGGCTGTGAATTGCTATGTATCTCAATATTTAGGTTCAATCAATTAGGTTCTGGGCCCATTACTTAGCCGTATTATTTGGTAAACAAATGTGTGAAATGAAGCTATATCAAAATGAGCTAAAAATGAAAAAGGCCTGACAAACAAGATGTATATATAAAAATAAGCCTCTTTGATGATAGCTAGTCACAAGAAAAAAAATCTGCCAAGGGAATTGCAAATTACAACACTCCTGGCATCACAACACCTCATTTAATTCACATAGTATCATATAATGATAATACCGAGTGTAGCAGGAGACCGATAAGGCTGCACATGCATGAGGGAGACAGACAAGAACTACTCCTGTCTGCCTGTTTGTGGGCACATCTGCATGAAAAAGGAGGAGCAGATATTCAGAGGCTCTGCAAATAAAGGAGAACATAGATTAGCAGCATGTATAGCTGCACAATACATCGCTTGCAGAGGTGGAAGGTAACAAATTACATGTACTCTCCTTACTGTACTTGAGTATATTTTTCCCTGTAATGGTACTTTGTGGAGTAAAAATAAGTCATAGTAATTTTACTCTTGCATGAGTTCATTTTTAATGAAATACTTTGACTTCACAACCTTAATTTTTAATGTTACATAATAAAAATAAATTATGAGCTTATCAGCTTATAAACCAGCTACAAGAAACCACGATTAAATGTAAATCAGAATGATCAAAACAAAGCCACACCCAGCTAAACACTACATAAACGTCCAGTTTAGAGGAGAAAGAAAGGGCAGAACTTTATCAGCACACCTGAGGAACAGGCTTTATCCCAAATGTCATCTATGCTCATTTACTAATTATCTAAAAAAATGCCATTATTATCAGTGGCCAGACACAAAACCTGCTGAGATCTTCGCTTTCACAACTCAACTCCAGCCTGAGTGAGCTGCTGCCATCATAGCTAAACAGGTAACTACTGTGTGTTTACTATTTTCTTCTTTCTTTTATTATGTATCTATTTATTACACTTAAAATTTGTAGCATATATTCCATTACATGTGCCATATACAGCTGTGATATGGGAAATCTAGTCAAATACAGGTTCCCCATAAACCCTAATCTGACCAGACTGTGGGTGGGGTTTGAAGTTTTTCTGTCATGTGCATTGTTTTACTGCCCTGTTGTGGCTCCACAGCAGAATCAGATGGTAACACTTTCTATGAATGTCACCTTTGTAAGCATCTATAAACACATTCATAACATGTTATAATGCATGCATAAGACATTCTAAACATAGCTATAAATATTTCTAAAAATGCATTACACATTATAGCCATGTTTATTATGCATTATGAATTGTTAACATAATACATTATAAGTACTGATCATAACAAATTATAAGAGTTCATAAGTGGTATTTGTCCGCTCTCAGTAAAGTGAAGCGTACTGTACTAAAGCCTCCTCCAGTGTTCAGAGTGAGGCTTCAAGTTGAAGTATTTACTGAAGGATTTACTGAAACACTAAAACATTCACAGTAAAGCACATTACAGGCTTCAAATGACAGAGTTTAAACTAGAGCTGCCATCAGTGTTTTACCCAATGTGGGAAAGGTAATGTTCACCACCGTTAGCTTGGTATTTGTCTTTACTTTGCGCTCTCCAAGCTGGGACTGACTACTTTGGCACTGACATTATAACATGTTATTAACACTATTTATAATGCATTATATAAACAATTTTATAATGTATAATAAACATGGCTATAAAGTGTAATTCAGTGTAATTTTTTTTTATAAATATTTATAACCATGTTTATAATGCCTTATGAATACATTATAACATGTTATAAATGTGTTTATAGATGCTTACAAAGGTGACATTCATAGAAAGTGTTACCAATCAGATTAGTAGGTAAAAATAAAATAATCCTCCTTTACAGTAAAATAAAGCTCTGCTGATCCTTCAACACAGTTTAACAATAAATGGTCTTAAACTCTGGAGTTAATGTAGAACTGCTAATTCACCCTTTAACCCTGAAGATCAGCACAGACTGCAGGTCACCATAGCAACACAGACAACAGTCTCGCCTAGCTAGTAGCTAACGAAACGGCAAAGAGAAGGATTTAAGATGAACATCAATAATTTAGAAACAAATTGACTTATTTGTGTTTATAATCACTCCAGCTGGTTTCCTGATACGTTTAATCTGCAGTGAGGAACTGTCAAACACTAAAAAATCGTTTGCCAGCTTCTCATTTGAATTGTCCTGTTCCACCTT